TTTTACAATTTCTTTTTTCTTAATTTTTATTCGAACATAATTAGGTTTACACAACGATTCAGTAACATATTTCTGAAATTTTGAAATATACATGAAAATATTTATCCAAAATGTTTTTTTTGAAATATAAGTTCATTCCTTGCAATTTTCAAGTGAAAAATTACTCTATATATGTGTATTGTTCATGTTATTTATCAATTCAACCATTTTTTATATACCATATCCCCTTTATTTCCTCAATATGTATCAGGTAATATCCTATTATTCTATATTGATGTAATAATTAACGTGTTTTTTTATTATTTTTACAAAACATTTACATTTTACTATAGATGATATCTTTCATTTTATCTTATGAAATTTCTTCTCATAAAAGAAAATATATCAGGTCCCGATGTTTATTATCCTTTTTAATTTTATTATTAACGTATATTACACATGATAGGCAGTGTACGCTTCCAAGGTTGGTGTAATCATATATTCAACAATAATTAAAATTTATATATACAAATTATGAAAATAATTTATTCAAGATATTTCTATTATAACATTTATTCAATATATATATAATAGTAAAAACATTCACCATATAATTCCTCTTAAATAGCCACAGCACTCAAACATAACATATTCCACAGATCCTTATAATAACAATATGTATATAAATTTACATCGAACACATTTACTTTTAAATATATATTATTAGAAAAAAATTATCTCCATATATAATGTAAACAAATTTATATATCTTAAAAATTATGCTATATATTTTTTTAATATAAAATATAACAGAATAAAAATATATTATAACCTAACGGAATAAAACGTTTTGGTACATTTATTTGATATGACGCACAGTTATTCTAAAGATATGAACAATCGGTAAAAATTCATAAGTATACATAGATTACATATAAAAAAAAAAATAATAATAGATGAAAAATAATTATTCCAGTAATTATATATATTACATAAAAATATTTCTATATCTTCAATCCTTTAATTATAATTACATATAATATCACACAAGTACTAAATTGAGTGAAATACATAATATAGTTTGAAAATATATTCCATCCATATTACAAAATTCATATACATTATGATAAAGTATATTAATTTCACTGTGTCTCAAATATTCATGCATTAATTCTCCCTAAATATATAATAATGTTGAAAATTTTTTAAAAAATAAAAATATCACATAAAAAATAAACATTATACTGATTATAATAAAATTATTGGTGAATATATAAATATTCAAAACAAAATCTAATATTGCTCGAACAAAAAAAGTGAACCCTGAACGCTGAACCCTAAAACCCTAATATTATATTCCTATTTGTTTTCATGCATGAGATTAACTATTTTTTTTTAAAAATTAATGTATATGAATATTTAATTGTATAATATATAAATAATATACAAATAAATAATATTTATTTAACATTATTAAGCAATGGTATCATGTAATTAACTTAATATATGAAGAATTAATTACATATACAATTTTTATTCATTGTATTGGAATTAATAATACATGAAGTGCTATGATATCATATACTATTAATGCTTTAATATAAAATATTCCATATTTTCAAACGATTGGTACATATTTATATATTTTTACTGTTCTGATTTTTCTAAAAATATATATGATTATTAAGAGGATATTGATTTTTGTGTATGATTCTTAAGAGTAATATAATTTTATCCTATAAAAATTACATTTTTGAACAAATCTATTAAATATTTGATTATATAATATTTACTAATTTATATTTTAAATTTTTTATGTAATACACTTGTATTTATTATTCTCAAATGTAATAATTATACAATAATATAATTTAATAAGTGAAGCACAACTCTCCTATGGGGGGATAATTTAATTAAATATTAAAATTCATAATTGAACAAAAGAAATTATATGTATATCGTTACTCGATGTTTTTGTGAATAAATATTAAAAAAGGCATTATTTATAAAATTAATTTTTTTTTAGATAAAATATAATGACACCTGATGAAATAAATGAAAAGGTACCTTATTAATTTTCAGAATATATATTTTACTTAATAATAGATGAACAGTATGGAAAATTTGAATATAAAATTTATTTTTTCAGATTTCTATATTATATAGTTTCATCCTTATTTATATATTATTTATTAGTATATTAACTGGAAAGATTATATCCATTTTAGGGAATTTTTTGAAACTTTGCCAACATTTAGGCAAAATTATGAAGATATTGATAGTTGTATTGTGAAGAATTCAGTTCACGAAGAAGATAAAGAACGCAATAATTTTATTAATATTTGTCAGAATATAAAAGAACTTTTTAAGTTTATGTCTTCTAATGGTTCTTGTAACAACGGAAAATGTTGTAACTATATTAACTACTATATTAGACAACAAATTAAAGAGAATTTTCCTACAAAAGAAGAAGAATTTTTTGCACGTTTTAAGAATTATATTGAAAGTAATAAAAATTATGAATCTTATAAAACATGTGTGCCGAAAATAGAATATATAGAAGAAGAAGAATTTAAAAAAATGGATGAATTATATGACCTATATGAACATTATGAATCTATTTTAAATCCAGATCCAGAAGAAAATAATTCTCCTACTGAATGCAGCGATATAGATGGTTTCATTGAAGAATATAATGATATTATCGAAAAACATAAGGAAGATATACCTTTCATCAAAGAATTATATATTCTCAGATGCTCATTTGAAAATAATGACTTATATAATAATTGCAAAAGTGAGTTAACAGATATATCAGAAAATGAAGATAATCCACGGAATATAAATGATTGTAATGGATCTCTAGAAAAAGTATATTTGAAGCAATATTCAGAAAGAAAAAATAGATACTCTAGTACAACTACTTATATTCAACCTGTTAATATGAATGTTATAATAGCATCTACACTTAGCAGTGTATTTTTAGGAACAGTACTTTATTGTATCTATAAGGTTAAATAAAATGTTATTTTAAAATTTTTGTGTTATACAGATAATATTATTATATATTTAAAAAAAAAAAAAATGGATTCATCAAGTAATTATAGTTATAAAATCAATATATATTTTTTTAATATTAGTTTAATACGTCAGGAAATTATTTACGAAATCACTTTCCAAGAATGAAAAGAATGAATAGAAATATAAGAGACGGAACATACCAACAAGAAATGTGTAACAGAAAACATTATCATAGGAATTTGAAAGAAAAATGTTATAATGTATCATATGTTTCAGAAAGGAAATACTAACATACATATTTAAAAAGATCGTGTAACTTTTATGAAATAATAATTATATTGCTGTATATCGGTTAATTAAAATTAGAAAATTCCATATTCATATATATAGGATACTAACACTCATTCTAAAAAAATAAAATAAAATTATATATTAAAATACAATATTAAGAAAAAAAATGATACAAAAATATATAAATTGATCTAATATATAAATAAAAAAATGAAAATATAAAATAACAATAAATATTTTTTATCATGAATTTCATGTTAGTTTGAATATTTATAAAATATAAAAATATAAAAAAAATCCAAATTTTTACATTGTTTTAAGGTTATGATTCAGGATTTAGGTTTAGAGATGTCTTCTATTATAAAAATTTTTGTGGCTGTTATGATTTTTTTATTTTTTATCATTCATTTAATATCTGAAAAATATATATATATGTATAACAATGATATTTGCTTTTATAAAATATTTTTCGGATGAGTGTATATGGTATTTTTTTTTTATGTGATTAATGTAATAACTGGACACATAATATACAACAAACATGACATTTAATACTGATGTTATCATTACTACATGAATATATTTTAATAGTATAAATGCATGTGTTAATATATTTGTAAATTTGCACATGTTTATTTTTATATATTTGTAGTATAACAATAACTTGTCATATTAATTTAACTTGTATCATTTTACAAAAATATATATTTAAAGCAGGCGATTTAATATGAATTGTATATAACATTTATTCATATATCATTTTTAGTTTTTTTAAATATTTTTTATCTATTCAGTCCTGTAAAGTAAAAATTTGAAAAAATAATAACAAAATAAGAAAAAAAATATATATTTTTGAAAGTGATGAATTAATATTAAACTTCTTTCAGAATTATTTTAATCTTAAATTAGATTCATATCTAATTATATATATTAGTAAATATTTTTTTTTATTTTCTTTTTTTTTATCAGTCCCTGAGGGAATTAAAATTATATTTTCACTATTATAATAGTATGAGAAAATGTTAATAAAATTAAATATATATAGTAAATATATTTTCTATTATAAAAATGAAAAGAATATATATATTAACACTGTTAATACTATTTTTTAATTCAAAATGTTATTACTATTATTATTTACACAATAGTTATGAGAAATTTTATTAAAATATTAATTAATATGATAGTGTTATAAATTAAAAATACACCTGATATATATGTCAAATAGACACGTTCTAATAATAAATTGCATTACGATTTTAATTCTTATAAAAATTTGTTTTACTAGGATGATTAATTTATTTTTTACTAAATCTTAAAAATGATATTAAATAGCTTATAATATAAATATAAGAAAAGTGATAGCACAATCACGTAATTAATATAAACGTAAAAAATTATTTCTCTTTCAGAATACATAATATATTATGATAAAATAAATAAAGTATTTATTATAGAGAATAGGATTGTTATATTAAAAATTACCTTGGTACATTTTAAATGTATGTTAACTGCAATTGTAGCAGATCAAGAAATAATTTTTATGTATATTATTATTAATCATATTGTTATGAAATTATTAAAATTATAAAATTCTCAAAAATAATAATTTATTTATTATAATATAAATTTATGCATGTTTGAAAAAAGAAAATAAGCATAAAGGAAAACATTATTTCTTTTCGATAAATAGTGCAAACACCAAACATAATAATGATATAGAAATAACTTGTAAATTTATAGGTTGTTTAGAGAATTAACATCTATATAAAAATATATATGAAATGTGCACCTAATGAGAATGATCAATGTAATTATGAAAAATTATATTTGCATATGCTTAAATATATTAAAAACATATAGTATAGTTGATTATTCTTACATAATTTAATTATATGATGATAATAACATATGTTTTATAATTCATTAGTACAAGAGTTACACAAAATAATACAATATAGGATAATATTATCCCCAATTTGAAATATAATAATAATAAATCCACAGAAATATTCAAAGATTAAATGATGATATAAGTAAAATTATGAAAAAATTTTTATTGTGAATGCATTAGGAACCTTAGCGTATGCACATAATTTACGTGTACTGTTTTAATATATGATCTATAAAAACTGTAAAGAGCGAAAAATATTCGAGGAAAAGTTCTTACAATTTTTTCTAAAGTTAAGGTACATGAAAGTAAGTAACATAATATGAATAATAAATCATCTAATTATATTTATAAAAAATGTTTTTTGCAATTATTGGTGTATAAGTTTATCCAGTAGGATATAATTATTTGTACATATAAATATGCATTATAAGCATGGGAAATAAGTTGTATTTATAGAGTAAATGTGTTCTCCAAAGTAATTTTACAACTTAAGAATTATTTTTTCAATATGTATTGTTAGATCTTATTTTTTCTTGTAAAATATTATAGCAGTATTATAAATAATAAATAGAAATTTTGTAAACTGAAATATTAATTTCTTAAAGATGGAAGTACCAGAATAATGCATAACTCACACACTGCACATATTTAGATACTACATTATTGTTAAACATTATAAAGTGCGACTTTTATTTAAGATATAATTTTCATGTGTGACCAGTAACCTCAAAGAAACATGTAATTATAAAAATATAAACAGTACTCATGAATTCAGAAATACATATGAAGAGAAATTTAGTAAAATATTTGTAACCTATAATAATATATGTATAGATAAATATTTTTTTTCAATATAATATATACCTATTATCAGATTTCAAATAAAATACAATAAAAATTCTTAAGTAGTTTCAAAAATGAAGTGTGTTTACAAATGTATTTGTGAAATAATTTTAAAAGTTATTTGTTAATGTATATTGATATTTAAAAGAACATTGATTAAAGATTTTTACAATTTGGATAACGGAAAAACAGGAAAATATTACAAAAATATTGGCAATGTGGAGTTATTAAAGAAAAAAAACTTATTTATTCTTCATAATAATTTAAAACGTGTTTTTATATAAACTCAATAATATGAGATTCTTAAGCTAAAGCTCCTATTTATATATTTGTAACAAGTATAAGAATTTACATAGGGAAGGACTAGGTAGGAATCTGTTTCTTTAGATGGAAAATCTTAAATATGTTGAGAACTATATATGGTAAAAATGCATAAATAGTGCCTATAAGTCATTTTCATCAATCTTTATATATAACATTATATTTTTAATTAGCGTTAAAATATACTGTTATAATATCATTATTATCACTTATATGATTAAAATCGTACATTATACGTATATTTATTATATTAAATATGCAAATATTTCGTAGTAGTTTTATTAGATACACGTTAATAATATTAATTTTATATATATTTACCCTTTTTACCAGATTTGTAGTTTTTTGCACAATGCTATAATACACAATTGTAATCATTTATAACATATAACATAATTAAAAAAAATAAAATACTTCTTTGATAGGAATAGTTGTATAAGGTGTTAATAATTATTTTGTATTTGAAAAATAAAATAAAAATAACTTATTCAAAATGGGGATAATAATATTTTGTTTTATATATTTAATAAATATATACAATAAAAGCATAATTATATTATTATATTTCGAAATAATTTTTATATAGATGTATGTAACATATATAATATATATTTACTTCTATATAACAGAAAAAAGTATATCAGATAAGGAAATCACAAAAATTTTTATGAAATATTCGTGCTACATGAGAAGAAATATGATGTGCCTTATTATAGTGATATAAATAGGAATAATTATAAATATAATGATATGGTTTTATAGAAAAATATTTTGTGTAAATATTTTAACAACTTTCATTTAATTGTATACTATAATATTGAAAAACTAAAAAATATCATATTTATGTTTCAATATAAGAATATACAAGTAAGTAACAATTAGAATCTAAATGCCCTTAATTAAATAAATGAGAATAAATATATAATAACTTAAAATTATTTTTTCGAATACATCTATTTTATTACATGTCTAAAAAAATATAATTTGTGTTAATATTGTTGGCAAATTATATTTTACTGAAAAAAAGTATATATATTTTTTTAACTATTTTGTTATCAATAATAAATATTTTCTTTTTGTTCTGTTTATCTAAAAGAGAATTTATGTATGTATAACATAAAAAGAATTTAATTATTTTTTAATATGCTCTTAAATAATGTATTATATAATATTTAATCCTTGATCCAGGATCATACATAAGAAAAATTTAACAAATACATCATATTTATAAATACCAATCGAACGTTTTTATATGTTTGAAGTATATTATTATATTGTATCTAATTAATATATCAGAAAGATAAATTATTTATATAAAATTATTAATTGTTCCAATTATATAAGTTATAAACTTATACGAATATATATTCCAACCAATAACAATATCATTTTTACTTTGGACTATATATCTATAATTTCCAAAATAATAAATAAGAATAAATATATATATCTTTGAGTTTGTCTACGTACCACAGAGGTATGAAATATAAAGAAAACCGTCAGATGAAAAAAAAAAAAAAAAATGGACAGAAATATAATATTATACAATGGATCATGTAATAATTAAGGTTACGATATTATCACTATATCATAGTTTTGAGTAAAAGGATAATCTCCATAATCTTTGTATTATTTAAGTAAGTATTCTTATGGAGAGTGATACTTCCGTACGCATTATATTAAATAAGATAAATCATTATTGCATAGAACAAATATTTATATCATTGAAAATTTATATATCTTACATCCAGACAATGATGATTATAATAATTGGGTATATTTTATTTAATAATATTTACTAATAATCACCATGAACCTATTTAGATATAGTAAAATTCAAGAATACCAAAAAAAATTATTATATGTATCTAGTATAAACCGATAAATTGAAGGCTAATTAATGAATGATTTTTACCCCACACAAATTTATATTTGAAAATACGAACGTAATATAGAATAGTAATATATAGCATATTATTAAGTGTAATATAAAAATGCATTAATTATTATATAATACAAAGATTCAATTAAAAGAGTAAGAAATATTTCATTTAAAATAAATAATATTCGTAATAATAGCACAGGAATATAAAATATACTACTAATTTTTAAGAAATATTTATGCACAAAAAGAATATAACGGATATTCCCAAGATATATGATAACACAAAATACTCTTATATATGAATTAAACTGAAAATTTTTAATAAATATTAATAACACAAACAAATAGATATTATAACTTTATGCATATTCATATGAATAAAAATTTCCGAAAATGTCAAATCAAAGTGACATTCATTTTTTCATTTAAAATTCCGTTAAATATAACTTCTTAAGACATATTGAGCATCTATTAAGTTTTTTCATTTATACTTTATTATATAAATTATATTTGGAGCATAGTAGTTCCTTATATTACAAGGTTCAATACATTTATATAGGAATATAGATTTTTAGCACAAATATGATAAATTTAATATATTAATTAGATTTATATTTTAATACATTACTAGTAATCATATAAATAATTAATATAAAACAAGGAAATTTGTATAGGATAAAATATCTGTTAATACATGAATGAAAAATAAAAGATATCTATGGGAACAAAGAAAATATTCACGCAGATGAAACTTATACATAGAATATCAATAATTATAGGACTAATTTTATGATATATGAATGATATATATTTATAATTTTGAAAAGTGCATCTTTTTGAAAAAATTATGTCATGCGAAAAAATAGAATTATCATTTTCTTATTTATATATATATTACATTTCTTATATGATAGCACTGCTAAATATTCATGTATTACTCTATCCTTTTATAAAAAAACTTATTGCGCATTCTTTTAAGGAATTCATTAATATATAGCAAAACACTTCATAAAATGCGTTGTATATGGACTATATGTAATTATTAAAGAAAATACATTATAAATACATTTATATATATATTCATTTCACGCGTATAATTGATTTTATACAATATACATTAATTCTGATACATCATAAATCATATTATTATAATAAATTTACTGCTGTTTTATATAATATATAGAAATGTAATAATACACAAATGCTCTTTTATTATGCGAAAACCTACATTTAATTATTATTATATGAATAAAATTTTAATATTATATTATTTCTATAATAAATTAGATGGCACATGCGTAGTAAAATTGTAATCTATATGTGGACTAATAGCGTTACTAATTAAAATATAAAACCTGATTACTTATATTTATAGATTTTATTATACTGCTTATTGGTGTCTATTTTCACACATTTATAATAACTTATTATTTCTAGAATGTTATTCTCATAAAAATTAAATATATTTTACATTGATTAAACATATATTATATTGTGAAATATTTAAGAGGAACACTAATAATATAAGGAATTTACTTTTTTTTTAATAAATAATTAAAGAAAATTAAGAGATAATTATAATGAGATTAATATTACTTGAATTAAATTAGAATAAAAGAAATAAAAACATCAACTACTTCACTATATTTTACTTGTAAACTGAAATAAATGTCATGAGTTTATTGTATTTCATAAAAAGTGTCATTAATTTGGAATTTCGAGAAAGAATTATTTGAACATGTTAAAGTGGTGAAAAAATAAAAATAAAAAATTTAACACAATAATAAGATTTAATTTTACATTGAATAATGGCATAAACAAATATATATATATATATATATTATTTCCAAATAATGTTAATTCGTGATTATTAGAATAATTATTTTATTAAAGCATCATACTACATAAAGAAAAAAATAAGTAACTCATTAAAAAAAATTATAATACTTATGTGCATACAATATAAAATATAGAATTCCTCTTTATAACTAGTTTTTTTATATATATGCAATATACTTTAATATGAATATAATATAAAAAAAACAAAGTGTACTCATTTATAAGTAAATATATATTTAACTCATTAAAATATTTAATTACACTGTTTCATATACTCATATTAATTTATATATAATAATATATCATTGGAAAATAATATTTACCATACTTAAAAATAATTCTCATAATTTATGATATATTAATTTTTTCCCTTCTTAAAATTTTTTATAGGTACTCAATTAAAATACTAATATACTTGAAATAATATATAAAATCAATGATTTTAAAACGATAATCAAAAAATATGCATCCAAAATCATGAATCAATAACCACTAAAATTGAAGCGTGAGATTTAAGAAATGAATACATTAGGTAGAACAATATATATCAAGATTATAAAATAATTAAAGACACAAATAAATATGATATAATAAAATTATTGATTATATCATATAAACAATTTAATTTGTTACATAATTTGACCATATAACTAAATTAAGTTTATATATATAACATTATTACGAATATATTTTTTATTATATGATTTTATAAGATATATCCAAAGATATAATTTTGTTTTTTTTATTTTATTATTTTTATTAATAGTTTTTCATTATATACAAAACTAATGATCTTGTGACAGATTAGAATATATTAATAATTTAATAAAAGTATGAATTCAATGTAGATATAAATGAAAAAAGATTTGAGATACCCCATATGATATAAATAGATTATTTTTTCTAATATTTTTAACAAATATATGTTTATTACAAAAAGAATATGAATCTTTATTTATTAATCCATATATATAAAATATAATGAGTGACAATAAATTGGAGAGCAAAGAAGTGTGATTCAAATTTTTTAAGTTATGTTTTTTAAATTTAATATTAAAATAACTTATTTGCAGAGTACGAAGCGCAAATTTTTTTATTAAAAACAATATTTTTAGTTTTTGTGTTTATTATGACTTTTATTTTTAGTTCGATTTTACAGGAATATTTCCAACTTGTACAGAAAATTTTTCATGGGGTGTACTGGATCATAGAAGTGGAAGTACGGCTCACCACTTTACTGAATTGTGCAGTGATTTTAAGAATGTTGTAACAGAAAATGATTCTAACATTGGGAATTTTGTTCAATATTGCCGAATTCTTGGTATATATTTAGAGCACATAGATAATAATAAACATAAGTTGAACCCAGAAGCATGCTGCAAATATTTTTACTACAGGCTAAATAAGGATATACTTGATAAGTACAAATGTAATTGTGGTGGAACCCAAAAGTGTTATGAGAAAATGGCAGAACAAGAGAAGAGTAGTAAATTCATGACAAAAATATCTAATATCTGCAAGGATCATTTCGTCAATATTGATACAGATGCATTAAAAATAATGGAGAATCTTGGAGAAATTTATAACTGTATTAATATTTTTAAAACTAATCGTAATAGGACTACTAGTAATATGCATCTTTTTAAAAGGTACATAGAAGAATTAGAAAAAAATTCTTACAAGTATAAAAGCCAACTTAAGAAAGAACTCGAAAAAATTATTAAGAAATGTGAAGACTATATAAGAGAATGGGAGGCTGATAAAAACTTTGCAAAGCATGCATCAGATCTCCTAACTCATAAAAATTGGATAAACGAAAGAAAAAGGAAACTCAACGGGGAAGTTCAAAAAACAACAAATAGTGTTGTAAAGCAAATACAAACGTCGGAATTCAATGTATTAGTTAATAAAACCTTGATGAGCCATATGAAAGAAGATGTAGCTAACACAGGAATAAATATTGGAACGATTTTTATACGTTTTTCAGTATTAATAATTATTTTTATTTTGTATAAGGTTAAAAACAAAATCAAAATAACAAATTTATGTTGTATTATTATTTATCTTAGAAATATTTTTAACAAATATATATAATATAAATGAACAATAAATAAAAATATTCTATAATTTTTTCTTTAGTATACCCCTTATCTTTCATTTTTAAAACCAAGGGTAAGGAAATTAAGAAGAAGGTTGAATAAAAATAACAAAAATAATCTTGATTTTATGTATTTATTTGATGTAGAATATAAATATTCAGCTGATGATAGGTACAAAATAGCATATAGTTAAATTAACAAGAATTAATAAATGATAGTAATATTAGTTACTGTATTCAATTTATTTTACTTTAATAAATATAATAAGAGATTTGAATTGTTGTAGAAAATAAATCTGATTATATTAATATTATAATATAATGCATAAATAATAAAGAATTTTGATGTTATCTAGTAAAATGACATAATATATGAAAATTCAATTTTTAATTATTACTACAAATGGAAAAATAAGCAATATACTATATAAAAATAGAATAATTTAAAAATATATACGTTATTGCCTTATTTATTGTAATCAAAGCATATTATAATAATATACTTGGAGATACAAGCATTGCATGATGAAACAGTACTAATGCTTTAACAAGAAAACATTAGTTGTTAAAGAAAAATTATACTATAATATTAGATAATCATTTATCTGCTTTAAATATATATATAATAATTTAGTTGTCTAATATATAATTGAATATATTAGCAGTGTTATACTTTCTTTTTGGAGAAATCATATGTATGCTCCTTATGCAAGAATTATATTGTAATTTGTTACCTTTTTCCAATCAGCATAATATAATCAAAAGAAGAAGGAAAAAAGGAAAAAAGTTAAACATATATATAACACTCTAATAACTCGCAATATATATATACCTACAAAAGATATAAATGTAAATAAATTAAGATAGATCTAGTATATATGGATATGTAAATTTATTATATGTTAACAAGGATACGTATATTATTAATATTATAAAAAATACGTATTACGATAAAAATAAAAAATAGAGTCATAATTGTAAAATATTAGAAATTCAAAAAAATAATACAATAAAATTAAATTAACTATATATATATTTATTTCATTGATGATCATTATTTCATACTTTTTGGATTTAGTATAATTCTACAACGAACTATAACAAAATTATTAGAAAAAATATAATATATTAATGTTGAATATTAATTTATATCTCTTCAAAAATGTATCTATATATATATTATTAATACATTAGTATATTTTTTTTTTTAAAACTTTTTATAAAATTATAAAAAATATATATATTGT